GTGCTTGGCCAGTCTGTCAGGACTCTGAGTCCAGAGGTCAGATGGGGGCGTCCTTCCATCTTGTGGCGTCCGTCAGTGAGTGTTTCGTGACTTTGAAATGAAATTTTAGTTTCCAACAGAAGACACCAAAGGCCACCATTGAAACAACATGGGAGCTACCACGCTGTCTGTCTCCTCCCGAGCCGCGTAGGCCTGTGGTGGCTTCACCCGGACTCACGACATGTCTCATTCAAGCAGACCAGAGAGCAGGGGGAAGTGAGGCATGAACTAGTTTTTATTCACAGGCTTACAGAATATATTGAGTCAAGAGGCATTTCACGCACGTGTCAACTCAGTTTACAAAAAAAAAAAGATACAGATATTGATATCTATATATCTAATCTATATAGATATCGATATCTATCTTTAAAATGCATCCATTGTTGGCTGCCTACTGCAAAATGTACTTTCATATACATATAAACTATTCTTATTTAATCCTAAGTTATGGATTTAAAACACATAAAAACAGTACCAAATAGCGTACTGGCCTACTTTATCCCGGTTTGTGTACATTCCTGATAGTTAGAGGGATAGAGCGGGAACGCATAGTGTCCTACTAGGAAAAGGTGGATTCTGATAGGAGCATCGGACTGGACGGCAGTCAGGAGGAGGGGCCCTGTCTCCCTCTCGGTCGCCTTCCAATGTCAGAATTAGCATCATGCGAGGATGTGGGCTGCTGTTCAGCCACTGATCACCTTCCCTTTGCTTGGAGCGGCTGAGACAAAGGAAATCACCAGCACCATGCTCTCTTTCCTTCCAGTTCATTTCTTCTTTAACAAAAGAGTTCCCACCACAGTCCTCTGCCTGTTTTCCCCCCATGGCCTCCCAACTCTGGACCAGCTCTTTCTCATTATACCTGTGCCTGTGGCCTATCACTCCAAGGCAATGCTAAATGGAATGTCTCTGATCACTGTCTACAAACTTTCTCCCAAAACTACAAACAAGGAACGCATGTCTGCGAAGCTGAATTAGGAATTCTGTTAGAGATGTTCTTTAGAGGACATGCAAATCAACTGTCCTCAGCAGACCTGCCTTCCCCTTTCTGTGTGACTTTTTTTTTTAATTTCTTGTTTCCTATGCCTTTCAGAAGTTTCCATCCCTGAGCAGCATTCCTGAGAGCCAAACCTCTGCTAACCCACACGAATTTCTTTCCTACAAATCCCCAGTATCTCTCTCTGTAGCTGGGAAGAAGAGCAGGATGCCGTCATTGTCAGTGTGCTGCCCAAAGGCTAAGCCCACAAGCAAGTCATCATCGCTTGTGGATACGGGTTCTTCATTTCTCTCTCTCTCAGAACTCATCTTTTTTATCTGGTGAACACCCTGATAAGACCCAGCTTCATCAAACCTCAGCACCCCTCCCTTAGCCAGGTGGGAAGAAACAACCGTGCCAGCTAGCAACCCCACTTTGAACAAGAATGAGCAATCTGAAAGTTCTAGAAGACTTTCTGAGGGAGGGTGCTGCCTACCGCTGCAGTTCCGTGTGGTGTTTGCTCACTGTTAGATTAACTGGTAGAGGGTGTCTATTCTGCATGGTTTTCTTCCTGCCTCTGCATATTTCCTTGTTGTTTGTTTTGTCTCTATTTTCACTTGTTGTGTTTTATTGGAACTGAGGTACCCACAGACATGGTAACAATGGAAGTCTTTCTTTGGGAGGGCAGAGGATTACAATGCCTGCTGTTCAGAGGAAATGTTCCAGCTTTCCCATCACTACTGGGTGGCCATAGCAGCCAATCTACTGTGTCTGTTTTCTTCTGTATGAAATGTGTGAATAGAAGAGCCCAAATGCACATAGAAAAAAACAAAAAAAAACAAGCTTTGCAGAAGTGCAAGGGGATCTTTGTGCGGATCCTAGGACTTGCACACAGGGCCTCGGCATGGTCCCTGAGCTTCTTTAGCTCAAGGCTAGTGGCTCTATCACTTGAGCCACAGCTCTACTTCCAGATTTTTTGGTAATTTATTGGAGATAAGAGTTTCACAGACTTTCTTGCCTGGGCTGGCTTCAAACCATGATCTTCAGATCTTGGCATCCTGAGTAGGTAAGATTACAGGAGTGAGCCACCACACCAGGTACGAGGTGATTGTAACAGCACTCAAGAATGTAACACTACTCTTCACGTCAAAGGTTTATTTTGAGTCTTTCTAGAGACAACCTCCCAATCCCTTGGAATCTGGGAACAAATCCTCACTTTGACGTAAAAACCTGAAAGCTACATGACTTTGAGATGAGAAAGAACAGACACGAGGATGAGAAAGCTTTAACAGATGAGCAGAGCCAGTGACACCAAGGGCTGATGGGAAGCAAAAAGCAAGAGCAGCTGGGGTTTGCGGAGCTGCCCAGGGGAGGGCCAGGGGAGGGCCAGGGGAGGGCCAGGGGAGGGCCAGGGGAGGGCCTCATACTTCCCAGCCGTGGGCTTTTTCTGGTGGCTGTTTGGCTTTTGGGTTTACATTATGACGGGAAGAAAGCTTACAGCAGAAACTGCTTAACACTGCAGAAATCTTGTGAAGAAACAGGGAGCTGAACAAAGCAAAGCTCTGGCTGCCTCATGCCAGGGAAGTGCACCTTCCTTGGACAAGCTAGTCAGAGCAAATGATCCCCTCCCATTGCACAGAACGAACTCAGTAGATTCCAGATGCTAGTCTTGGATAAACTTTAAGAAAATAAATAAACAAAACTTTTGTTTGCAATGGGCTGGATTTCCAGCTCTCTCATCTCCTACTCCAGGTCTTTCATTCACCTTAATACTTTATTGGGTGCACCAGATCTTCCTTCCTAAACATGGTACTCTGAGCTTCCTGATTTCCCAGATCTATGCAGTGGTCACCGGCATGGCTAGTGCACACGCTAGTCTCTGACTTCACCTTCCAAGGTCCCACTGAAAAACTGAAGCATGACACTACGAAAGATGCCACCACTGGTACCTCCTCTGCACACAACAGGCTCTGGGAAGTTATTTCGATCAGGCACAAGAGCTAGGATTGTCTCAATGTTCCCTGTACTGTCTGTCCAGTACCCTTCTCCATTCAGGCCTGCCTGAAGGGTTCCATACCTGATAGCATTGCTTGCCTGCAGCTGAAAGAATGGTAGAACATCTCACCCACCTTTGACCTTTCATCTCTGACTCTACGTGGAGCATTCACAATCAGTCCAAATAAGCCAAGAAGGCAAAAGAATGCAAAGAGTGATTACAAGATGACAACAAGCCACATTCTCCATTTGCTTAGTATTTAGCAGCGAAGTTCTAAACAACCACATGTCTAAATGTGGGTGGGCGAATCCACTAAACTCCCTAGTCGCCAAAAGCTTCAGCCAACACAGTTGCCGAGAGTGTGGATGAGATGTCAATGCGTGGAACTCGGGGATGTTGACTGCTCTGTCTGCTTAGCTTCAAGTCAGAAAACAACAAACACATTCATTCCTATTTGGAGCACATCTGCCAAGACTTAAGATGATCATTGAAATACAATTCTACAATACAATGTCCTTCTGCTGATCTGTGGCTATTGGACGGTATTTGATGGAGTACCCTAACACTGGCTTCATACTGAGAACCGACTACCCAGGCAGAACATCTACTAAAGAACCATCCACAGAACCAGGTTCCATGACTTCCCTGTCATCCACACTCAGGACCCACTTTGTAAGAGGTCACCTGGTCCCCTACTGTAGTGGACAACACTTGTCTGGCTCCCATTGACATCCCTTGGTGAACTCTGTCTCTACGGGATGACCTGCCACCACCAGCCAGCCCTCTGTGAGTGTGTGCACCCTGGGCATCCTTTGCTAACGTGCTGGGAAGGGAAGGCGTGTTCCTGCCGTGGGTGTCCCCAGCTGTGATTCTGTGTGCAGAGCAACTTCCATTGGGGCTGCACCAGCAGCCGCAACAGCAGCAGCTCCACAAAGCAGGGCTGTTTTAGGAGGCGGGAGGTTGGCAGGTGGGCAGGTAGGCAGGTTGCTATTCAATTACTTGATCTATTAAGTTGTTCAGAGGGCAAAGGCATGCATCCATCAAAAGGCCCCCTCTGGGTTTCAAAGCACATGGAGATCTGAGTAAGGTCCCCTTCGACTCTAAAATCTCACTTCAAAAACCCTACCAAATACACATCAGATGGAAACACCTGTTCCCTCCCTCTAAAGGATAGATAAAAAGCACCTTCAGTCTTTGGCCTGTCTGCTGGTTACATACAAACTCAAAGGATGGGTTCGGAGAAGCAGATGAGTCATGGAGCGCATCAAACAAACATTATGCTCTGCCCACCACGAGGGTCAGCTTTGAACCCCAAAGAACAGGGAAAAGGTCCTTTGTCTCACCGCTGGGCCCATAGCCCATGCTGGCCTTGGCATATATGCACAGGATATGTTCTCTGTGTCAGAGGCATCCATGTCAAACTGTTAGTATGCTCCTGGCGAGCATCTATCCAGGAACCAATTTAACAACCAAGGTCTTGTTTTAAAGAAGACTCCGGAAGACTGGGTGCTACTTTCAGGAAACTCAGATGGCTCAAAATAGCATTGCTGAGTGTTCTAAGACTTTCCAACTAATCATCAGCAAATGTTTTTAGCTGACTTTGGCTTTAACAGTTCTTACCAATAAGACTTTGAAAACAGAATGGGAAGGAGGTTTAGGAGATTTGGGTTTGGTTTTTAAATGTTTTCACTAGTACTGTCTCATCCTATCCAATGGTTCTCCTTCTTCATTAAACAGAAAGCCAAAGCATATTACTTCCTAGATGGTGAGAAGAATTAACAGCCCTCTTCCCTCACATTACAGGCTTAAAGACGTCTTTTCGAAATGGTAGGAACATGTCATGCAGTTAAGCCAATAAATGCAATCCCTGATTAAAATGTGAGATCTAAAAGTTTGCAAACTTCTAACTATTCCCCCCCCCCCCACCCTACCCCCGAATGCCTTTTTTAAAAAAAAATTTAATTTCAGAGCTGTTGAGCTTGGTTTGTTTTATTTCATTATCTTCTTGTATTTCCTCTTGGTCCTCTCTCTTGTGATTGCTAATGTTATATGTCATCTAAACGCACCAATCACACCTTCACAAACTTAGGTCCACAATGATATGTTCAAAAATCTTTGTTTTCCCTTTAAAACTGGATGCAAAAAAGAAATCTCTCCTGTCGGTAGAGACAGCTGTGAAGGAACGGGGTGCCTGCACATAGATTTCTTTAAACTTTTTAAATAGCTGCTTCTCTTTATCCCACTGGTATATCTGTGAGAACGTATAGTCACTCCCCAGGGCCAGGTAATGGTTATCTTTAAAAGAAAAGGGCTGCAGTGTCATGGCGCCTCTGGACGGAAGGGCCTGGACCTCCACGAATTGCTTACTGTTCCACTGCATGACCCGGGAGTCCCCGATGAAGCGAGTGAGAGACAGGTACAGGGTGTTCTGCATCCGGAAGCTCTTCACAGCCAGCACGTCCTCCATGTTGGGGATATCGCCGTAGGGGACGAACTTCTTAGAGCTTTTATTCCACTGCAGGATGATGGGGACCTGCGAGCGGCTGGACAAGATGAGATGTGATTTCCCTTCGATATCCACAAACTCGGCATCCGTGTCCCGGAACCACTCATGCAGAGACTGGTACGAATAGAAGCCTTTGCCGTTCCATTTGTACACTGTGGACAGGCCGGCTTTAGAGCTGTCGGCAATGATGAAGAATGTCTCGTCCTCGATCTGAAAGAGCTCAATGTCATTGGGCTTGGAGATGCGAGAGACTTCTATGTCTTGGAATTTGACGAACTTGGTCCAACTGTCGTCGTATTTGTAAATGTGAGAGCCGCCGAAGAGCTGAGCCACCACCACGAACACCTGGTCATCAATGAGGATGGCCTTGCAGCCCACAATGGACTGGCCTGTGCTCCAAGAGACAGGGAGGGAGGGAATTAGTGTAGCCACACAGCACCTCCCTCCTAATGCTGGCACCTGAAGCCGTGGGGAGGGGGAGAAGTGATCCAGTTCTTTGAAAATTTAAGTACAGAATTGCCATAGGACCCCTCCCCCCAACCCAATTCCACTGCTCGAGACACCCCCCAGAAGAATTAAAAGCAGGGACTCGGGAAGAATGGGAATCTGATAGCAGAGGAGAATTTGTTCTGAGTACATCATGAGCATGTGTGCAAATAGCACCATGAAATACTTCTCACTGTGGAAGAAATGTACAATCATTTATATAAGAGGAACTCCGAAAGATACCTGAACACCAAGTGCTGTATACAGAATGCTTGTGTGTCTCCCCCGCCCCCAATCTGTATGCTGAAACTCCTTCTCCAGGTGGTAGAAGGAGGAAGTAGGGTTTGGGGCAAGGTAATTAGAGCAGAGCTGCCATGACTAGAATTAGCAGCACCCTTATAAAAGATATTCCCCCCAAGAGCTCCTTGTGTCCTTCTACTCTGTGAAGACTCAGCTAGCAAGAGGGCTCTTAAGCCAGTCACTCAATTTGTTGATGTCTTGATCTTGAACTTCAAAGACCCTAGAACCATAGGAAATAAACTTCTGTTGTTTATAAGCTCCCCTCCCCAGCCTGTGGTATTCTGTCTTAGTCACCACAGTGACTATGACACTCATATTCAAAGCAAAATCATTCTCAATAGCCATTGTGAAAGGAACCTAATGGATAAAACAAATGTAGCCTACACAGACAATGGGAAATAGCCCCAGAAAGGAAAGAAAGGCTGGCACATGCTCCAATGCAGATGATCTTGAGAACACTGACAAGTAGAACACGCCAGACACAGAGGCCAGAAACTGTCAGCTTCCACTTGTCCAAGGCCCTTAGTTTAAATATGCTTCTTTAATTAAAAAAATAGGGCTTAGGTGGGCACAGTGGCACATTATCTGTAATCCTAGCTACCCAGGAGGCTTAGATCTGAGGATCAAGGTATAAGACTGTGAGACTCTTATCTCTAATTAATGAGAGGTACAGCTCAAGTAGTAGAATGCCAGCCAAGAGTAAAAAAATCCAAATAAGCTGAGCAAATGTAAGGCCCTGAGTTCAAGCCCCAGTAGAAGCACCAAAAATAGATACATATATACCTATATGTACATATATATACATATATATATATATATAGCTTATGCCATTCACATGCTTTTTAGAAGCTGCTTTTTCTCATTTGATTTCTATATTGACTGTCCTACAGCTTCATTCTTTAAATGCTAAGCAGCATATCGTTACATGGATACACAATCATTTATTTAACTAATCCTCAAATGTTAGACAGAGCAGTCATTCCCAGTTCTTCATTATTGTTAAATAATATGTTTCCTTTAACGTATTGTTCAATAACATGTTTGAAACCATCTGGCAGTATTGTTACATGTAAGACTCACTGGGGCAAATGTTTCTATATTTAAGGTTTTTGGACTTACACTGCCAAACTACTCTTCAAAAGCTGCATGGATTTTTCACCCTGCAAACACATAACATGCTTCAGAGTACAAACTCTGCCTCCTTCTGGTCAGCCTGACTATGGGAGCCCAGAAGGTTCTAGAGGTCAGCCTATCACAACCAACAGGCCCGTGTGAGACATATAATTCTTTTTCCTGAAGATGCTCACTACAACTCTGTCCAGGTAAATATTTTCAGCCTGTGAAGTTGTTGTTGTTGTTGTTGTATATATGTGTTTATGTAGGGAGAAGGAGATTACAGGTTGAATCATACTTCACATGTTAAAAAAAAAATACAGGTAATCAAGTAAACCAAAAGCAAAAGAGCTATGGTAGGAGAGGAAGAAACAAGCCGTTCACATCCACCTTCCTCTCCTGTTTAGGCGAGAGGCTCAAGGGCTGGATCTTTCCTGGTTCAGCAAGCGTCAAGGCTTTCTTTTCTGCCAAGCTCCAGCCACTCTCTCCCATCCTCTGAGGAACCCACCCTGAGTCTATAGCCAGCCGCTGCCCGCCTCCCTGGGGCATCCTGTCCCTGAGTTCCTGGTGCTAATGAAAGTTGCACAGGTACTGGCTGAAGGTGAAAACTTAGGATCTGTGGTGGAAGAAAGGACAACCAGTCCTATTTTGTCCCCAGAGGTAAAGCTAACCATTCACTGCAGACGCTGTGCTCTTAAATACACTCTACCTCCCTCAAATTCTTACCAGATTCCCTGACTCCAGCCCTGGGATGATTCTATTTTACAAGTACAATGGAAAGAAAGGCAGAAGATTATGTGATTTGGCCAAGGTCTCCATCTAGTAAGAGCTCAAGTCAGGATAATCCAAAACCAGTCTGGTACACGCCTCACATAGAAAGACAAAGCTTGTGCCTCCCTGCTCAGGCTTGGCTACAAAGGATCCTGAGAAGAAAAACCATGGAGCAAGACTGGAGGATATCACAAGGGCAGGTCAAGAGCAGGGCCATCTCTTCCTACCAACATCCCCCCACACACAGGGAGGGGGTGGAGCATCTGGAGGATAGATCCCCCTGTGAGTGACTCCACATGCTTGAACCTTGCAGGCTTGTGCTGGTCTGTGCTGGGCACTTGGGGAGTCCTCCCCCCCACCCCCCTCCCACCGTGTCCAGGAGGCTCCTCACCTCCCCATCTCACACACAGAGAAGCAGGCCTGGGAGACCACAGTCTTCCCAGCACTTGGCAGTGCTGAGAGCACAGTGAGAGCTCCTGGGTGACCAAAGCCTGAGCTTCACACAGTCTAAAGACCTTGACAAGATGTACAGGCACAGTATGTCCACAGTCTTACAGCGGGAGCCTCTGTACATCTGAGATGGCATCCCCAACCAGCAGCAGGCCACACTCAGTCGCACCTCAGGGGAAAGGCCCCTCCCAGGCCCCTGAGGGACACTGGAACTGCTCCCACCCAGCGAAGCTTTCACTAATCTCACCCGCCCTGGGATGGAAGGAGAGAAGGGACAGAAGCTAGCCCCCTGGATCCTTCACCATTTCCCAAGAAAAGAGAGAGAGAGCCAAGTGAAGCCACTCCCACTGGGGTGTTAAGTTCCCCTCTCCTCCTGGCAGGGCCCCTGGCTGTTCTGGCGGCTAAATCTGCACCTCCAGTAGCTCTCCCAGGCTGGAATCCACACCAGATGGCCATGGCGGCAGCCACCCACTCATGGAAGTGGCATCTTCCATGCATCAGGAGGCAGGTGTCCAAATCTCCTCCGGCTGTGACATTAGACTCATCAGCTGTTCTTCCCTCAGGGGTGAAAAGCTCCTGTCACAGCCTGTCTACATCCCTGCACCTGCTGCAAAGCCACTTGTGCCTAAGACAGCCCTTGGGACCTCCTTGCCCAGAAAGCCCACCAAGATGCAGTTTAACCCAGTGGTTAAACTTGCCCTGAGCCAAACAGGAGTCTCTGAAGGAAATAATTAGGCTTTCAGGGCACTGGGTATAAAGTACTGCTCTCAGATTACACTTGGATAACTCAAAAGTCTTTGAAAGGTGACTTTTGATTTGAACTTCATTTAGTTATTTTAAAAGCAACTGGACAGGAGTCCAGTCTTAGACTTGCTAAGACACTGGGACCTGCAACTATACCAGAAGAAACACTACTAAGTCCTTTCCCAAAGCCCTCAATTTCGGGAACTGTTCATTCTTATCTAATATGTACTTATTTTTTTATTTTTTGGGGGGGTCCAGTCGTGGGGCCTGAACTCTGGGCCTGGGTGCTGTCCCTCAGCTCTTCAGCTCAAGGCTAGCGCTCTACCACTTGAATCACAGCACCACTTCTGGCTTTTTTCTTTTTTCTTATATGGTGCTGAAGAATTGAACCCAGGGCCTCAGGCATGCAAGGCAAGTGCTCTACCACTGAGCCACCTATCCAGCCCCATGTAATTATTAAATGAAAGCAGTGATCACTGAAACTTTTCAAGGTGATACAAGGAGCAAGCTTCAGGGTGTGTGTGTGTGTGTGTGAGTGTGTGTGTGTGTGTGTGTGTGTGTGTGTGTGTGTGTATGTCAACAAACTAGTTATCAATCAGCCTAATAAAAGCCATGTCCATTACATATCTGGTAAAGGCTGGAATAGACCAGCACAGGAACCTGGGAGCTCATGTGCAACTTCTCAGCAATACTAAAAAGTATTTTCCTATTCTCTCACAAATTCTACCAAAAACAACACAAAAAACAAACAAACAATCAAACAAAACAATCTTCAACCATAAGTGGCATTGAAGAGTCAGTCCCCAACAGTAAACAGATCCCCACCTGAGGTTTCAGATCTGCTGAGGAGGAGGATGCATAAATAACATGGAAGTGACCCCCCCATAGCTGGAATGCTGTCCTCCCTCCAACCCAGCTAGAACGCCAAGCCCTCCCTCCACCTGGTGCAGGGTGCCTCCTCCCTTAGGCCAGCCTGACCCCACAGCAACCATCCTTGGAAAGTCTGAACACACCTGTGATGTTGTCATAGCTGCGGAAATTCATCTCAATGTGGTCCCACTCCAGCACCATGCAGTTCTCCATGCTGGGCTGTGCGATGGCCACGTACACATCGTTCTTGGAGTTGAACGTATCCACTGACACCGACTGGTAGGGCAAAGTCTGATGAACGACGAAATCTAGGAACGGGTAATTAAAAATAAATGATCATCAAAACCTTCTGGACTGGGTGCCAGTGGTTCACACCTGTAATCCTAGCTACTCAGGAAGCTGAGATCTGAGGACTGTGCTTCAAAGCCAGCCTGGGCAGGAAAGTCCCCATGAGTCTCTTATTTCCAATTAACCACCAGAAAACCAGGAAGTGGCGCTGTGGCTCAAGTGGTAGAGCGCTCACCTTGAGCTGAAGAGCTCAGGGACTCCGCCCAGGCCCAGAGTTCAAGACCCATGACCAAAAACAAAAACAAACAAACAACAAAAAAAAACTTTTGTGGGGAAGCAGCACACACACACACACACACACACACACACACATACACACACAGTCGTCAGACTAAATAAACAGCTTCCTGGAAATAAACAGTGTCACAAGCGTGGTGACAGGAACTGGAAGCTTTAAGCACAGTTGGTGATGTCTGGCTTTCCACACCACATGGCAGCAAGGAGTCTACAGAGATATTCTGGAAGCTGTCATGTGAGTACCTCTGAGACTAAGGGGTTCAGTGAGTTTGGAAAATGCTAGACTCCTGCTCTCAGAACAACCCCTGTGAGAAAGAAGCCTGCTTAGCTTTGTGTAACTCACCTGATTTACCCAACCCTGTGATTGCCTGGGATTATGCATCCCTGCTGAGCACAGCGCCCCTACAGGTTCAGAACGAGCACTGCACTCTGGCATAGGATTACATTATGTGTCTGGAAACCAAAGCCACCCATGTGGGAGACCTCATACTCCTTACAGTGGTGAAGGGTCTATGTGATGAGTCCATACTGCTCCCCCGGGCTATGGGAAACCCAGGTCGGGGGTCATATAATTGTCGAGGCACAGTGTGAGCAGGAATGGCGGGTGTGGGAAGAACGGGATGAATCTAGAGATTAATTAGTAAAGCTTAACTTGCTCGGTTTTGTTTTGTTGACCAAAGATGGTTCAAGGTCAAGGTTGTGTTGTTCCTTGGGGACACTCCCAGGCTGTAACACGGAATCACAGGGAATGCCTGGCTCTCTCTCATGCCGCCCTTCCCAACCCCTCTCAAACCTCGTCTCCTCCAAGGCCTTCCCTGACCCATGCAGCTCAGCATTAACACATGTTATCTAAATCTGAGCAGTCACCGTGACTACGAACACTGACATCAGAGTACGCTAGATATCTTAGAGCCCTTTCAGCCATGCTCCAGAGCCCAGAGACACTGAGTACCATGCAGCCAGTGGGCTGTGAATGAACACCCTAAACCTGAGTCTTCCACTTCTCCAAGCCTGTCACAGCTCAAGTCCACGGTAACTACTCAAGAAATAATTGCTGGTTGGGAAGGCTCATCAAAGATGGTCTGGGAGACCAATACCCAGGAGGCTGCTCAGGCTGGCTAAAGGAGGGAGATGCAAGAGGAACATGGTCACAGAAGGTCCAGGAGCAATGTCTGCAATCCCGGCTACTCTCAAGGTACAGGCTGGGGTGGAGGGGGTGAGGGGGAGGGGGGGTAAATTCAGTTCAAGGTCATCCCAGGTGTGGGGAACTAATCACATCTATCTTAATCAACAAGCCAAGGGTAGTGGTATATATCTATCATCCCAACTACACTAAGCAGGAGGCCCATAGGTAGGAGGACTGAAGTCCAAGGCTAGCCCCAGGCAAAATGTTTGAAAAATAACTCAAGCAGAAAGGGAGCTGAGAGCATAGCCTAAGTGGTCCCCTGCCCAGCAAGTACCAGGTCCTGAGTTCAAACTCCAGCACCACACGCACAAACACACACTCACACACACACACACACACAATACGAGCCGAAGCAAGAGAGGTGGTCGCAGCGGGATTAGGGAGAAGGCGGTTAGGACTGAGAGGCTCCAGAGTCAACAGTGCCTGGAGGTAGACATCCTGAAGCCACTGGCCACCCTGGAGACCCGGAACTAGCCAATTTTCCAGTCTCGGTTCCCTGGGGCCAACATGGGAGGACTTGACAGGTCATGGGGTGGCAATGCCTAACTCAGGGCTGGACTCATTCATGAAAACAGATGTGAGATCCCAGAACAGACAGCCCAGCTCCTCTTCCTTGCCCAGCCTGAGAGACGGTCCATGTTAGTGGTTATCTCAGTGAAGACGCTGGAGCAGAGCTACCACCTTCTTGCTGAATGACCTTGGACCAATAACCTCTCTTCCACTTCTCTCTCATCTCCTGGCAGGCTTGCCAGCACTTGGCTCGGTGCAACTCGACACCCTAGACGTGTTAACTTTACCCCAGGGCTTCTCCCTGGGGGACACGGTTGAAGCTTATTGAACTCCTTTTGGTCTATCTGATCCCAGGCCTGCTTCAAAGGTTGCAGCGCAGGGCAGGGTTGCTGAATGCCACAGGCAGAGGCAAGGGGTGGAGAAGCCAACAAAGCAGCCCCTGCAGCCCGCCATGCATCAGGTGACAGAGGTGGTGAAGGAAATGGCTGTAACAGTCTGGCCTTCACTTCTCAGCAGAGCAGGAAGGGCCTGGGCAGCCGTGTCCTGGCGTAGAAAGATGGAGTCTGGGGTTCCAGATGGGTGAAATGAGAGGTTCCCTGAAGTGGGGAATAGAAGCCGACAGCCTGCACCTGCCTGTGCAGATGCTCTGTGATTTGATATTCGCAGCAATGATTGCACTAAGGCACCTGCTGGAGACAGGAAAGCGCCCCAGGGGCTCACAGCCCTCTTACCCATCCCTGGAAGTGTTGCTGGGCAGAGATTAAGAAGACCAGGGAAGAGGTGATACTGTTCAAAGTGAAATGTACTCATTACCTGACCTATGCAACTATAACACCTCTGTCTATCATCTTCACCATAAAAATAAAGTATTCCTCCCCTCCACGCTCCACACACACACACACACACACACACACACACACACACACACACACAAACTGGCAGACCCAGTACAAAAGTCATAAATTGCTGGGCCAGATTATAGGCATATATCTATAATCCTAGCTACTCAGAAGATTGAGATCTGAGGTTGTGGTTCAGTGCCAGTCAGGGTAGGGAAGTCCATGGGACTTTTCTGGGCCTGGACATTGTCCCTTAGCTTTTTAGCTTGAGGCAAGCGCTCTACCATTTGAGCCACAGAGCCACTTCCAGTTTTCTGAGTGGTTTATTGGCTTTAAACTGCAATCTTCAGATCTCAGACTCCTGAGTAGCTAGGATTACAGGCGTGAGCCACTAGCTCCCGGCTTCCATAGGACTTTTATTTCCACTTACCCACCAAAAAGCCAGAAGTAGAGCTGTGGCTCAAGTGGGAGAACACTAGTGTTGACCAAAATAAATAATGAATAAATAAAAGCTCAGGGACAGGCCCAAGCCCAAACTATAAGCTCCCTATACTAACACAGACACATGCTGGCAAAAAGCCACAAGCCAGTTGTTCTGCTGCTGAGTTCACAGACAGATGGCAGAGCAGGAGGGAGATGCACACTAGCACACTGTGCCACCTTCCTAGGGACCTGAGAGACCTACCACATCGGCCTGCAACGTTCTAAGCTCTCTCTTCCTGGTGCCCATGGCTCTTGAGTCCCTGCTCCTCTAGTCTCCTGACTCTCCCTTAATTCTCAAAGCTGCACAAACACCAGCACTTACATAAATGGAGGCTGTTTAAAGTGCAGAGCAAAAACTTTCCATTTTTATTGAGGGATTCCAGGAGGAAGAAGAGCTGTCAGAATAGAGAGCATTTTGCTAGATTTGCACATTTAGGTTTATTTTCCCTGCAGTGTTTCCTAACATTTTTCATACACTGACTATCTGGCACGACACAGACTATTAAATCACTTGAATAGCAAATCTTTGTGCATGTAGGGGGGGTTGTTTGGTTGGTTTGTGAGGGGTTTTTTTGGAGTGGGGGGCAGTACTAAGGCTTGAAGTCATCCCTTATAATTACTTTAATTACTTGCCTTGCTTGCTTGGCTTGCTTGCTAGGCTGGTGCTCTACTACTTGAGCCACACCTCCAGCCAGGCTTTTTATTGGTTATTTTGGATATAGAGTTTAACAAACTTTCTTGTCCAAGCCTGCCTTGAACCATGAGCTTCCAGATCTCAGCTTCCTGAATATCTAGGAGGAGGAGCCGCCATACCCAGTAACAAATCGAATTCTTAATAGAAACTTGGCTCCTGGGCCCACTATAAAAAGAAAAGGAAGAAGATACACAGACAGAAGAAAAGGACCCAAAGCCATCAACTGGTGTGTATATATTTATGGTTTTTTTCAGGAGGGGCGGAAGAATTTACATACCTTCTCCCAACCCCCATCTTAATTCACCTTTCCCAAACACTGAAAGTGTCTAAGAAGCAACATAAAAGATGCATTTGCTGTGAATTAACTAGAAGTCCCCCCACTTTGAGTCTGTGCCCTTTGATCTCTGTTATAGTCAACTTTGCAATCTCCAAGAAAGACCAGATTCAGCAATAACCACCTGTGTGGAAGCCAAACTGCCCTCAAACAGGTAATGGCTTCTTTTTATCTGAAAGCAAACCACCAAAAAGTGGGAGACGACCTTGTTCCTAATCTGTTCCAGTTATAAAGTAATAACCTCTCTGGAATTTCTCCTGGGACAAAGACTGAGCTGATGGTCACCCTTGCAAATTGGAAGTGTTTTAATTTTGCATAATTTAGCATACCTTAATCACCCCTAGCCTCCAATTCTCTTCGTGTGTGTGTGTGTGTGTGTGTGTGTGTGTGTGTGTATGTGTGTGTGTGTGTGTGTGTGTGTGTGTGTGTGTGTGTGCGCCAGTTCTGGGGCTTGAACTCGGAACCTGGGTGCTGTCCTTGAGCTTCTTTTGCTCAAGGCAAGTTACCTGACCTGGCTTCAAACCACAGTCCTCAGATCTGAGTTTCCTGAGTAGCCAGGATTACAGGTGTAAGCCACCAGCACCAGGCTATTTCTCCCTATTTAACCTAAAGCCAATGTCTGTACCTCTGAAGATGACTGTCTTCACATAGTGGTCATGCAGTAACTCTTCTTTTTCTGTTCTTCTCCATGTCTTTTTATTTGGAATATGGAGGCAATTGGCTAGACCTAACGCGGGACTCCTGGACTTTGAGCTTGTAATCTAAAACCTCATTTCAAAAGCGTGACCACTGTGGAAAGATCTCAGAGAACACACATACTGCTGTGACATCCATTTACTAGTGTCAAAATATTAGTGGCACTTTCAAGCAGAAAAGCCACCACTCCTGTTGACACAGTATTGAGTTCATGATGCCACTGGGTCTTTGACAATGTAGGCTTGTCTCTCACTGGAATCCACAGATTTTTTTTTTTTACCTAACTATTTATAGCACTGGAAGAAAATAAATTATACATGATGCTGAGCCTATGGGGAGAGAAAATGCACATTAATGCATTATTTCTCTTTGCATTTTCATCAGCCCCGAAATGGGGAAGCTAACAGGACAATTAGGATGCAAAATTCACTCCCTCTAAGGAATATAGTGAATTATCCACCTAACACAGGGAATCATTGTTAGGTAACAGGGATTTTTGAGTGGTTAAAAATAGACTCAAAGGGGAGGGGATAGAAGAAGTGTGATTAATCTGAAAAGCTCCAGCAGCCCAGTGGTGGCTGTATGGAATTAATTATTCCCTTTTCTTGAGGAATGGGATGGTAAGGATGCCTTCTTCTCTCTAGGCAAAATGGAGAGTGATGAAATTTACTTCTTTCCTGAAAATCTGAGCTAAGAGAGAAAAAACACACTGGGAAAATATGCTTTTTCCCAAACCTTGAGCAAAGGAGACAAGCAGGTTTCCCTGAGTTCTTCAATCAGACTCTCCATCCTCTATTTATCCTCACTCCTTCATTCCTAGGTGCTTTGATAAAGCACCAGAGCCCACGCTTGATCAGGGAAACCCCAAATGCTTACAACATATTGATCTCATTCTTACATAGCTGAAACCTTATTTGGGAATGGTTCATTCTTTGTTCCACCATTTTAATCTGATAAAGAGCTCACATTCCCATCAAAGGCAATAAAGTTGGAATGGCCAACTTTGAAATGGCCAGAAAGTCTGTATTAACTTCCAAACATGGAAAAAACAAGCTAATAAAGACAAACCTATGTACGTAAGACCAGAGAAGCCTTGAAGTGTATGCTCAGTAGCTCACACTGCCACAGATCCTAACGTTCAGGTCCTAGCTACCTTGATTCCAAGCCCTCACCTCTCTGATGAACAATTCCCAATGACTGGACCATTTTCATTACTATCCAAAAGACCCTAAGATGAGAAACTATGTCTCCTTGTATAAATGATCCTCCGTGCCCGGGTCTCTCCCATGTCAGTGCCTCCGTGCCCGGGTCTCTCCCATGTCAGTGCCTACAGACTAAATTTTACACACTGTAGCCAAATGTGAGCAGAGCAATGGGAAACGCCAACCTCCCCTTGGGATGTAGAGAACTTTCTAGAAAAAAGAAATGGAAAAAAGGCCGAGAAGAGTTACCAAAGAACACTGGTTTAGCACGTCATACCAAATGGTCTCAAATGCCACCTTTTGGCACAACTGACATTGGCTATGACCTCTGATTTATCATAGTAGCTCTTTGGTACAATAAATAACCTCACACGGCCTCAGCTGGCTGGAGAGCCCCTGCCAATTACACAGCTGAGTGAGGCCCTCAGAGTGACAAGGACACACACTACAGATTTCAGGTTTCCTGGGGGAGAAAAAAGCAGAACTGGTAGAGTCCCTTCTCTACAAACAAAGCCATCTAGAAATAATTTTCAGCATGTGGGGTTTTGGTCTTTGGTTTTTGCTGGGTAGGAGGGGAAAGGAGGTAGTAAGTCTAGCTTAAAAGTAATATTTTGGAATTTTTGAGTATCTGAGTTTTCTGAGTTTTCATTCCCTTTGCTTCTAACGTGCCTTGAGGCTTTGGAAATATGAGCTCTCAGCATAAATGTTTATTTGCAGAAACTTCTAGAAGAGAGGCTTCAGACTGTGGATTGATCCTGTCTTCTTTAACATCCAGCTTTAGAAGCTATAGAAACTGGCCTGAGCCTTTTATATGGAGATCCTCACTGCTCTCTACCTGCTGGGACATTGAGGTGTTAATTTTATTCTATAAACTGGAAAAAAAAAAATGTCTATATGAACTAACACCCTGAGGCAGTGGCTGGGAAAACAAAGTCAAATTTCCTTTATAGTTTTCCCTCAGTGTGGATTTTTCTCTTTAACAGTTAGCTGCCAACTTACACTTCCTAGTTTGTCATCAGTTTTATTTATCTAGTTATCTCTTCTTACATGGCACTATGAAACTAATTTGTAGATGGAAAAAGTCTGCATTAAACTTCCAATAAACATCATCTTACTGAATCCAGAGAGCGGTGGTAACGAAATAATTTAGGTTTCTTGGCACTGCCTTCCCATGAAACCTATTGCGTTGAAGATGTTCTCTCCTGTCATACCCACGTTTATACTGTGATCTTAAAAAAGCAAAAGCATACATACAAATAAACAAAAAAGCTCTAAGGAATTTGAATTTGGTAAAGAATCAAAACAAAAGTCAAGGTAGTAAACAAAAATGGCTGAGCTGTTTATCTAACCATACTGATTCATTCCTTTTAGTGTAGAAAACATCTCCACTCACTTTCCCCCACATTCTACTGACATGCACAAGAAAAACAAAGTGATTCATCCAAACACCCATCTTTGGGTCAGGCAAAGCAGGAGAACTTCTCCTCGATCCCAGCTAGAGGTGGTAGGGGAGGGAATCAAAGAGGATTTCAAAAAAGAAAAAGAAAAAGAAATAGAGCTAGTATTCTACACTCAATTCCCAGTACCATGTCAGTAAATATCCATCATGGATAAATTGGCTTTGCCTACCTGTAGTTGTACACTCATAGTCAAAGCTGCTCACGTCATTCAGTTTCTTTTCCTGATACTCTGGCGGACCAATACATAGCACATCAGACACCGTGGAATTGGTCATCTTCAGCCACAGATACAACCACTTAGCCTTGCAGTCACATTCAAATTTATTACCCCTTAAATCTCTAAAAAAGAAAACAAAGCACACATATGTACACAAGAAAATAAGACACATCTAGTGAGATGAAACACTAGAATTAGTAATATTCTGATTTATTAAAACCTCCTCTAAAAGTAGAATTTGTGTGTGTGTGTATGTGTGTGTGTGTGTGTGTGTGTGTGTGTGTGTGTGTGCATGCGTGCAGGTTCTAGAGCTTGAATTTAGGGCCTGGGCACTGTCTCTGAGATGTATTGCTCAATGCTCCAACTCTACTACCTGAGCTACGGCCCTACTTTCAGCTTTTTGGTAGTTTTGGGTTTGTTTTATATTGCTTTGCGGGTCCTGGGGCTTGAACTGAAGACTTGGACACTGTCCCTGAGCTTCTTTTGCTGGAGGCTAGCATTCTCTCATTTGAGCCACAGCTCTACTTCTGGCTGTTTTTTGGGTTTTTTTTTTTTTAGTAATTTCTTGGAAATAAGAGTCTCATAAATTCCTCTCCTGACCCCACCCCCTGCCCCCACTTCCCGCCCAGACTGCTTCTGATTTGAACTGCACCGCACAAAGAGAACTCTTGGAGATGGCTTGTCCACCACCTCTCCAAACTCTCTTGAAATTGTTCCCAAGGCATGGTGAAATGGGAGGGACAATAGAACATCACCCCCTCCCAGGCAGTTCTCCTAAAAATAGGAAATTCCAGGAAGACAGTGTTCACAAACACAAGTGAAACTTTTAAGATCTTCTTAACCTATGTCCAGCTGGAAGTAACCACTAGACACTAAAGCAAGTGAACACATTGTTTAGGATATGGGACTTCCCATCCAGAGAGCTTGATCTGCTACTGGTCTCAGGATGCTAAGTATCAAGTAGACAAATCCAGCACAATGAAACCTACACAGCCGCTTCCCAGGGCATGCTACTTTATTGATTTTTATTGCAGTAAAGAAGCCAAGGGGGTTGAAATATATGATTAACTGGGGCCCAGTGACAGCACAAGCAAACTTAATTTCATTACTTACAGTTCAATCAGAGAGTCTAAGTCACTGAAGACATCCCTTGGTAGTGCTTTAATGTGGTTATTGGCCAAAGAACTAGAAAAAGAAAGTCACATTTTAATGTGGTTATTATCTTCATGCCTGGTCACTCTGAAGTCCCTTTAAATACAGCTAATAGCTTAAATGGAGCTCTAAACATCCTGATCCCCGCGGGGCTCAGCCCCTGGCTTTCCTCATCAATCCTGTAAGATGGGACTTTAGCTAGAAGAAGATAATGTACATGCTGGATTACACTGTAAGCTTTCTGATTCTGTGTGTGTGTGTGTGTGTGTGTGTGTTCCCCAATACTGGAGCACTCGGACTTGAACTAAGGGACTGGGCACTGTCCCTTAGCTTTTTCATTCAAGGCTGGTGCTTCACCCAGTTCCACTCCTGGGAAATTGATGGTTAACTGGAAATAAGAGTCTCAAAGACTTTCCTGCCCAGGTTGGCTTTGAACTGTGATTCTCAGCCTCCTGAGTAGCAAGGATTTCAGGTGTGGGCCACTGGTGACTGGCTGGTTAGTTTTGTTTTTAAAACAGCACTTACTAAATTATTTGTGCCCATCTCTTAAACTGCTGATGGCTTCCTAGGTTTCGTGAAACAAAAGCCTAAGTCACTTTGATGGTATATCCGATCTAGGTCTCTCCACTACTGCTCTATTCTACCATGCCTCATCACTCACTGCTCAGATCAAGCCACACCAGCCTCCTTGCTCCTCCCCAGACATGCTTGAGGCCTTGTCCTGCTCCCCTGCCTACAGTTCTTCCCTAGAGAGCCAACAGCTCCCTCCACCGCCTCATTGAGGTCCATCCTCAACCATCTACCACCTTCCTGACCTCTGCCACCTCTCTCCCCTCCCCTATTCAGTGGATCTTCATTAGAAGACACAATGCACATCTTAATTATCTATTTGAATGTGTTTATTCGTGTGTACACAACCAGTACTAAGGCTTGAACTCAGGGTGTAGGCACTGCCCCTTAGCTTTTTCACTCAATGCTAGTGCTTTACCATAAGCCACACCTCCACTTCCGGCTTTGGGGGTTAAGTGGAGATAAGAGACTGGATTTGAACCTGGATCCTCAGATCTCAGCCTTCTGAGTAACTATGATTTAGGAGTGAGCCACCAGTGCCCGCTGTGTTGGTTTCTTGGTGGATTCCCTCTAAACACAGGCCAAAGAAGGACAGAGATGATGCTGGGGTCTGTTCACAATGTGTCACAAGTTGGTGCTGGTACACAAGTACTCGGTAAACCTTTGAAGGACAAGTGAATGGAGCACCAAAGCAACAGTGATGGCAGAAGATGTAGTCTGGTCCCCAGCATTCCCTAATGTTCCATTTAAGGGAGTTCCCTTAGCTGGGCCTCATGTCTCTGTGGACTCTTATAGACACTCGAATCTAACCCCTAGAGATGATGTGATAAAATATCAATAAACAAATGTTTAGACAATCATTGGTTACAATCAGCTTCCTCTGCCCATGAGTGAAGCTGGAGGAGAAGCCATTTTGCATGGTTGTTCTTGGTGTGGAAGGCCTTTCTGCGATATGAGTCTACTCCCCACCTCCAAGAAACATCTCATTTTTGTGATGAGTGAGGATGCTGCATTGCCTGTCATCATCCTGCTGAGATGGATGGAAGCCCCCAGTGCAGGGCTGAAGTAGGGAGAGGTACAGCAGGTCTGAGATTTCCCCTGGCACCTCATGCCAACGTGAGTTATTCTAGAAACTGACATCTGCTTGTTTCCTTCTACTTATATGAGTCTCAGCAGCAAAATGGAGCAATGACAAACCACTTTAAAACATATGTGAATTTAGTGGTACATGGTACCCTAATGTATAATTTCAGAATGAGAACTAAGGAAGTGATTAGGAGTCAACTAGATAGACATGGTAGAAAGTTTGAGCCTATTTGTTAACCAAACATTCTTGCTTCAAGATTATCAACTGGGTACGGAGAAATACAATTTCTGAGTTAGATCTCTTTTCATCCAGGTGACCACAAATGGATAAAAATAGAATTCTATGTACTGTTTTACCTTGCTTTTCTAAATGATATATTTGTACATTTTTTTATGTGTTGGAAAATAAGCTGAAAATAAAATCAGTCTGAACATATTCAGAGTAGCTTTTGGAAATTAGAAAAAGAACATTTTTTTTCTGGTTGATGGTGGCACTTTTTTTGTACTTTGGAAAGCAAAGTACAAAAAGGTTGCAGCTAATTAGAGGTTTAAAAAAATCTAGCTAAGCTGGGAGCCGGTGACTCACACCTGTAATCCTAGCTACTCAGGAGGCTGAGATCTGAGGATCACAGTTCAAAGCCAGCCTGGGCAGGAAAGTCCGTGAGACTCTTATCTCCAGTAAACCACTAGAAAACCGGAAGTGGCACTGTAGCTCAAGTGGTAGAACGCTCACCTTGAGCCAAAGAGTACAGGGACAGCGCCCAGGCCCAGAGTTCAAGGCTCACGACCGGCAAAAAAAAAAAAAAAAATCTTGACAAAAAAATCTAGCTAAAGCCTGGCACCAGTGTTTCACTCTTGTAATCCTAGTTACTCAGGAGATTGAGATCTGAGGATCACAATTTGAAGCCAGCCCAAGTAGACAAATCAAAGGAAGTTTTATATCCCATTATCCAGGGGGGAAAAAGCTAGAAGTGGAGGTATGGCTCTAGTAGTAGCATTCCAGCCTTGAATGAAAAAGCAAATCAAGAGCTTGAGGCTCTGAGTTCTAGCTCCAGTACCAGACACCACCCTCTGGCCCCCCCTCCCCCAATACACACATATACACACAACCTAGCTTAAAAATTTGGCTCACTGAAAGTTACTATATTGAAAAATAAACTGAATAGCTGAAGGCAGGAGGCTGAGCAGTCCCTCCAGGTTTGCAATTCCGAGTTCAGAAAGCAGAGTTCTTAGATGGCTGCCTGCCCTCTCACTAAGTGCTTAACTTAGCCCCTTCAACTTCATTTCCTCCACCAATTCATGGCACTGAATACTTCATTTCTAAAACTACTTAACAGCTCCCTGTCCCTGGGGCTGCAGGAAAACAAATGTCCTAGATCTTAGTTACTGATTGGCATGGTTCTTTCACTGGATGCCCAGAAATAGATCTGTTTCCTTACAGATTAAAATGGGTTTGTCCATATTAGGAAAGCTCATAAAAGTCAGATACTTCATTTACACGTTCTTTACCTGCTCCAGGTAAGAACAGGAGTGGAGTTTAGAGCTGAGGCTTTCTCTGATTACAGGTTTAATAAAGGGAGATGATGAACTCATGCTTTAAGCAAATGTAATACAAGTTTTGATTACTAAATACATCTCAGTCTAGAGGGGACAAGTTTGAAAGTTGCTAACTTTTCTGGGAAAGCAAAGCACATACAGAAACCCAGCTTAGGAAGGAAGCCCCTGATCTCCAGAGAATCACAGTAGGTCTTGCTGATCTGGCCTGGGCTGCACACAGGAGAAGAACTGCATTAAGGGGAGGATGCAAAGGTCCAGCCTCCATGGACCACTCTGGCCCTCAAGGAGCACTCCACACTCCTGGGAGAGAAATCTAACATCCAGGAAATAAGATCAACCCATGCAGCTAGGGGACATGGTGAAGGGTTGCATGGAGCCAGTGGACAGAGGCACAAAAGATGTCAGACAGGGCTTCAGGAGGGAGATGGGCCATGCTCTAAACTCTGAAGGAAAAAAGGCAGGTTCCAGGAGACTGAGGGGAGAAGAAACAGCATCATAGGCAAAGGAAAGGATGTGAAAAGAATGCCCAGTGGTGGGATGAGTTGGGTATGCATGGGGTGCACTGGGAGTCTGGGCTCTGGAGACCCAGGGTAGTGGGGCTGCAGAGGGAGAGAGGGCAGGTAATACTCCTGAGATAAACTGCTTCCCTCTAACATGCGCAACGCCTTCTGTACCCACATGGGAGAGTTCCTTGATCCCTCCATACTTGCACTCCCTGATACCATCCAGAAAGGTTCTTCTTGCACCCATGCAAGTGTGCTAACACACAAAACACATATGCACATGTGCGAAGTTAACACACTCACACATGTGTAGTCCATGTACTATCGTCCCACAAACATGCATGATACTTGCATGTTCAACCCTCAGGAACCGGGGCAGATTAGACTAGCTCAGCCAGGCACGTGGGCTTTGCTTTAGGGTCACAGTCTGCCCTGCACTTTTGCTCACAAACAAAGCCCTTCTTCCTGACTTCTGGGAAGCAGACTTACCCGGCCTCAGCTGTTTCTCTCCAGACACCCCCAGCTGTCCTTTCAGCAGCCGCTGTCTGGCTTTCCCAACTGCCAAGTGGTTTACACTTACTTACTCAGCAGCCCTGGGAGAGAAAGCCGAGGCTCCTCAGTGAGCCCAGGGAGGGAATGACCACACCTTAAGCACGCATGGCAGGATGTGGGCAGATATTTCTCAAGCCAGCATTACAAACTCGTCCGTGCAGAAAGTCTGTGCAATCAGTACAACCATCCCTATTTTAAGGATAAGGAAACTAGAACTCAGAAAAGCTAAGCAAGATTCATAAACGATGGCCTGGAGCTTGGAACTCAAGTCCGAGGGACTCCAAACTGAACAGTGTTATCCTCCCAAGAACGTGGGGATTTCGTGAAGAAAACTCCAGGCTGTGAAGAAAGGTTTCCATAGGAAGAGAAGAAAACCTAGAGCAGGAATATCAATGGGACTAACATTCTCCCACATGGACTGTGCTAGTGAGGATGGTTGGGCCTCCCACCCCCCATTCCTGTACCTCCTCACTCTCCAAACTCTGAGTTCTAGTTCAAGCAGAGCCTCTGCTTGGTGGCCATCCAGAAACCAGTGTTGCTGTGTACACCCAGAAGGCACCTGTGCCAGGTTGAGGGCTCACTGGGCAAGGGGCTCTGTCCACACTCTATTGTCAGGCTGACACCCAAAGATACCACAGCCACTGCCTAACACCCACCTTCAAAGCAGGTCAATTTCCCAGTTCTCTTTACTGCAGACAGGCCAGCCCCGGAGAGTAGCCACGTTATCTGACTCAGACTTGAAATATCTATCGTGCAAATTGAGCCTGCATCCTAGCTAATACATTACTCCCACTGAGACAATAACTATTTTTGCGTTTTCATAAACAGCCACAATTTCTTCCAGTTTTCTAAATTTGCTCAATGTGTGTACTTGCTTCGTTCTGATATGTCAATTCAAATCAATTTGTTTAATTTTTTTTTGTCTCCAGAAAGCTATTAAAGAACCAGAGAGTTTAGCTGAAACCACAGATTAATCCAACATAAAAGAAGAAGTGATTTGCATTCAAATGAGAAGAAGCACAAAGACATCTCTATTCTACTTTTTCCTCATTTTGATCCTCTGGTTGACATCCTTTGGGAAGTCAGGTAACATTCAGCTCCCAAATCTGTGAAATGGGCTCACAGATGATCACATGTGGTGGAAAAGAAAGCTCCCCCATGCACCCGGCCCTGCATCTGGTACCAGGTAGGTGCGACCTCTGCTTCTTTCCCACTCTCTCCTGAGACCAGGCCCCTTGGGTCCCTTCATCACAGGTGGTCATGAGCCCTGTCCCCAGAGCAGACCACTACGATGGGGACATAAGAACACCAACTAGGTGATGATTGCAATACTTCTATGGACCATGTAGAAAGCTCTAGAACCATTGGAAAGTAAGTGTTGTTCAGGGAATGCTCCCTTATGGAAATGTCAAGGAAAAGAAAGTCATCCGGAGGTGACTCTTATCCCGCACACAAAAGGACTTACAAGGATGTTGAAGGACTTACAGGTGAGTCAGGTCCCGCAGGCCACGAAAGGCATTTCTGGAAATTGTTTCTATTTTGTTCCCTTCAATGAACCTGAGGAGGAAAGCAGAACAATTCAACAGAATTTTCTCTGCTTAATATCTCTCAAAATGAGATTAGCATGCTCTGAGACTGACATCCAAAAGCAACCAGGAATTGCAGTCTCTGAAGACTGAGCCACACCAAACTCCACCAAAGAGTTGGTGTGTGGGGGCAAGATTACTCGCACATGAGTGTGTCTGTACCCCCCCCCCATGACAACAACAGCATCACGGTCATATGTAAATTCAGAACTGCAACATGGGTGAAAACATCTGGGGAGGGGGAGCATGTACCGCACAGAGGCCAGAGGCTCCCTTGTCTGTTAGGCAGGAATGGCTCCAGCCATTTTCCCTGCTCAGCCCCTCTCAAAATTAGTTCCCGATACTTGGCTATTCATATTTTTGTTAATATCACAATCCCATAGCCCACTGTTTTATATCTCTTTATTATAGTCTGTTTGCTTATCTGTGTCTGTGTCTGTGTGTCTCTGTGCAAGCACACGCACATGTGCGCACGTGTATGCACTGGTACTGGGGCTTGAATTTAGGGCCTTAGTTTGCCAATTAAGGCTGGAACTCTATCACTTGAACCACAGCTCCACTTGTGGCATTTGGTAAGAGTCTCACACACTTTTTTTTTTTTCTTTTTTGGGTCCAGTCGTAGGGCCTGAACTCTGGGCCTGGGCGTTGTCCCTCAGCTCTTCAGCTCAAGGCTAGCACTCTACCACATGAGCCACAGCGCCACTTCCGGCTTTTTTTTCCCCCTGCTTACATGGTGCTGAGGAATCGAACCCAGGGCCTCAAGCATGCAAGGCAAGCGCTCTACCTCTCACACACTTTTATGCCCAGCTGTGATCCTCAGATCTCAGCTTCCTGAGTAGCTAGGCTCACAGGCGTGAGCCACCAATGCCTAGCTATATTACAATGTAGATGAAGGAGAGTTCCATTAAGCTTGGCTTTCAGCAATCTTGTGCATACAGTTTCCCACACAGCCTGATCTTTGAAGAAATGATGAGGCACCAATGTTCTGAAGACCTCTAGGCCACTAGAAAAGTTGATCAGGGGCTAGCTTTCTTTCCTCTGGACTAAAACGGTAAACAGCTTACACACTGAATCTTACATCAATCACACCGCCAAACTACAAATTGTGCATATGAGATAAAATGCAAATGTGCCACCAATTCTCCCTAGCATCACAGGGAGTTAAATCAAAGGTGAGGCAGCCTGTGAGGAGAAGCCCAAAGGAGAATCTTGGCCACGTCTACGCGACACCATTAATGAAGCGGTTCTTGCATTGAATGCTTTCTGGCGCATGGTGGCTCAGGTAGTAGACTTCAGGATAAAATGAAACAACACCCTAGCCTGCAAGGCTGAATCTCCCACAAGGGGAAATGCACAACTCTGCTCTGCTATCACTGTGGCTATGAACAGGCTTTGGTGGATACCAGTAGTTTCAGCCCCTGCAGCTGTGATATTCTTTGCATATCAAGCACACGTCACACATCACGGTACTGGATTATGAGAATGTACATATTTATATCTACTCTGGAAAAAGAAATCCTGCAGGCATATCCATCTCCAAGGCCCCAAACTAGCAGAGAGCTTTCTTCTGCTAAGGATGTGTCTACAATCCGAACATCTACCTGTTGGCCTCAGATAAGAAAGCAGAGATGGGGTTTTCAAAGTCCTCTGAATGCTAAGGAAGGAAATCCCATCGGATCACAGGATTAGTGTTATCACAAACTTTCTAGTACAAAGGTACCATGACTGGAGGGGGAAAAGAGCGGAAAGAGAGAGAGACTGACGTAAGAACAAGAACAAAGCTAATCTGGATGGGTTGGGGCGGGGGGACTCCATGTCTAAAGACAGAAAAATGACATTTTTACCATTTGTGTGATTGCGTGCATAGGTGTGTGTGTGGTTGTGGGTGTGAGTGTGAGTGTGTGTGTTTGTGGTACTGAGCAGAACCACACACCTTGTATGTGCTAGGCAGGCATTCTACCACTGAACTACATCCCCAGTCCCTGTTCCCCTCTTTTTTAAAAACAAATATATATTTTCTTTTATTAGACATCTATTTTTCAAATCAACTTGTGAAAAAAAAAGTCTCCAGGCCTTTCAGAAACAACATTTTCGGGCAGTGTTTCACTAATAAACTCTCACAGGAGCTGCCTGCTGTCTGTATCCCTGAAGCAGCAGGCAAAGAAAATCACCAAAGGATTGATTATAGGAAATGAAATATAATCGCTTTATCTGTAAAGATGACTATAATTAGGTAAGTAGCAAGTATCCAATAATGGAATTAAATTGGGATTTTGAACCTCCAGCTGCACATAGCCTCTCTCCTTTTTCAAAAGAAGAGAAAAAAATCTGGTTAGACCCTCAGCAGAAATCACAAACAGGATGTGAGATAGCTGAGTTAAAAACACATGGTTTCATCCCCAAATAGGGAAACTTCGTTTAAAAATAAGTAACCCTCAGAGCCCTTCATCTCTATTTCTGGGTGATCAGCAAATCCATCGTAGTTAGGAGAGGTAAAAATATCCAACACGATTTCCAATTCTGTTCACTACTTGATAAATTAAGTGTCAGCGGAGAATGAATGAGCACATTTCCTTCTTTGTTTCCTTTCTCCTGATTTGTCTCCAGCCCCATCCAGTCCCAATGTGTTTATAAGCAAATGAACTACCAAAGGTCAGTACTACCTAGACAAGGAAGGTTTTTTTCTCAATTGGCCCCCTCCAACAAGGCAAAGAGCACAACACATCCAACTTCCCAGAGGCACTGACCATGAACCCACACCCTCCCCCCAAACCATAATACTCACAGGTATTCGAGATGAAAAAGTCCAGCAAAGGCATCATCCCGGATCACAGTGAATGAGTTTGAATTCAGCAACCTGAAAATAAGACAGAGTTCAATGCAGAGATGTGAAGTGGAGTCTCTCAGTGAAGCTGCTTTTGTTTCGTTTGCTATGTTCAGATTCTGATTCTCTGGACAACTCAGCAGGACCCCGAAGGGGTTCACAAACCTCTGCAGACAAAGACCACAGGAAGTAGATTCCTTTGAGACAGACTTTCTGCTCATCTTTGATGTTCTACTTCTTTCTCCCCTGAGGGTGTTGGTAAATATGAACTGGTAACAGGTATTTGGAAACATTTTCATGCTAGGTACAATTAAACAGCCAGTGTTTGCTTTCTGACACAAACAAGCATGGAATCAGAGATAGGAAAGGATCGAATCCAGCTCTATCTTTATAGACATTTGAGCCCAGAGAAATGAAATGACTGAAACAAAATCACATCCTGAGAGCATAAACAATTTAAAAATTCTTTCTATTCCACTTTACATTCTCATGAGAAATGGCAGTAAAAGTTTGATAAGGAAAGTAGTAAAAGTTTGATAAGGGCTAGAGGTGTGACTCTAGTGCTAGAGTGCTTCTGAAGACTGTTTACCACTGCAGTTTTCTATTTGAATTACCATTTAAGCTCCTTTGGTAAAAGTCAATGTAATCTCTATAGACACCACTTAGGACTAAAGATACCCAAAATTGTAGTCTTGCACACCTGTAATTAATCCCACCTCTCTGGAGGCAGAAATGGGAGGATGTCAAGGTCAAGGCCAGCCTGGTGCTACATAAGAGAGTTCTAGGCTGCAAAGGTGGCTCAGTGTTAGAGTACTTGCCTCGCATGCATGAGGCCCTGGGTTCAATTCCTCAGTGCCACATAAACAGAAAAAGCCAGAAGTGGTGTTGTGGCTCAAGTGGTACAGCATTAGCCTTGAACTGAAGATTTGAGGGATAGCACCCAGGCCCAGAGTTCAAGCCCCATGATGGACAAAAAAAAAAAAGAGAAAGAGAGAGTTCTAAGCCAGGCTGAGCTATATATCAAGACTCTACTTCAAAAAAGAATTAAAAAATATTACCTAAAATATATTTCTATTCCTACTATTATATGGAAGTATATTTTAATATTATTGAAATTCTAAGACAATTCTGACTTTAAAATAAGCATGATGTTATAAGTAGGCATGCAATACCTCACTGACAAAACTATACCCAGGAAGTTTATTGAGAAGTAGTGATCTGTATGTCTCTATATTTTTCTGTAGCTTATTGCTTGCTGTAGAAGGAGCAATATGATTCCATTTTTAAATTTAAAATTTTAAAAATTAAACTTAAAATTCCATTAAAAAATTTTTAAAACCAATATAACCAAGAGACTTTGATATATACTCGAGACCAACTGTCACTAATTGGCTTATAAAAAGAGCTTTGGGGCTTTTTTCTCTCCCTTTTTTCCTTCCTTCCTTCCTTGAGTGTGTTAGTACTGGGGCTTGAGTGTGACTTTCTCACTCACAGTTAGTGCTGTACCACTTGAGCCACACCTCCAATTTAGCTTTGCTGCTGGTAAAAGTCTGACTTTCCTGCCTGGACTGGCTTCCAACAAAGATCCTCAGATCTCAGCCTCTAGAGTAGCTAGGATTACACCAGTGCCCAGCTAGAGATCTCTTTTTGTCAGCAAATGTTAATTGCTGGGACAGAGTAGTTTTGAGTGTGGGCTTTGGCCCTAGGTCTCAAATCCTGTTCTGTGATTTTGAACAAATAACTTCCCTGAGCACCAGTTTCCTATCAGTAGAAGAATAAAAATATGCTCCTGGAGGGGGTGATATGTTAATGAGATAAAATTATGCAAATAATGAATAGTAGGCTGCCTGTTTCAGTACTCCATAAACCAGAAACACTCCTGTCTCCAAAGTAACATTAACATTTTAAAATGTAAATTTCTTTTAAAGTGAAATGTTTGGGCAAGAGCTTGTTGAGGTAAAGTTCTGGATGTGTGATTAATACACTCACTTCCCAAAGCAAGTCGGGATCTACAGCAGAGAAACCATGTAGCAAGATGAGCAAAAGAGCCTTAACATTTTGTCCAGGATACATGGGGCAAGCTAACAACGGGAGCTGGTAGGTGGATGGAAGTACTGACACCAAAAAGGCAAAGACCACCCTTGCAAGGACCACCCTTCAGGAGCCCCCATTTTACAGATAGACCTTCCCATACTCACAGCAGCTGCAAGGAAGGCAGATGGGAAAACATGCGGTCCTTGATTTCTGAAAAGGTTCCATTTACTAGGCTCCTGCAGGCAAAGGAGAGAGGAAACAAGGCCCAGGTTTTTTAGGCAGAGCCAGGCTAGGTGGACAGCAGCCTCACCTTCTACCTGAACTTCACTCTCTTCTTTGTTGGCCTGAGGCTCACACAGTTGGGGGGGGAGGGGACATTGGGGGGGGGGGGGGGAGAGACAAGCCATTCTCCAGTGGACTTAATCAATATGAAGACTAGTCTGGCTAACAGAAAACTGTCAGTCAGGCTCCTTCCACAGACATTAGCTCAGTCAGCTTAAAGCAATCCCCCAGATTCACTACCAGGAGAGCCCTGCTGAAGCTGGGTAATTGCTTCACCTCTGCCCAAGATTCTGTTTGTACAGACACCAAGTTAATGTTGGCCAACGAAACTCTAGGGTAGGATTAGACATTCCCCCTTGGGAACGCATCCCTGAAAGACACTCAGAGCACTTCTGATTAAATGCACTGTGAAAGCCTTGGGGGGAAACTCAGACACCTGAACCTGACTGTGTGGTAAGAAGTGGTGCCATCTGCCAGATAAAATGGTCAACTTGGGTCAAGAAGTTTGGCTCTGTTTGTGCTCTGGCGGGGAGGGGAGGGAGGGGGTTGTTCCCTTACCCTTTCTGGCCACAGCAGGACCTCAAGACTTTATTTCCATTAACAGGTAGATTAATCAAACCGATGCTGATCTCAAGAAGTTAACAAGGGGAAATAGAATTTCCAGGATCTTCCATGTCATTTGACTTGACAGTAGTAGGAATCACACAGGCCTGACGTTTCCCAGAGTAAAGCACAAGCAACGTCATCCTGGAGGGGGGTCCCCTAATCAGACACCTGAGGGGGGGCACCCCAGCATCCCTCCTGAGTATTAGAATCATCCAGCAGGAGCCCCATCCCTTGGGACAGAGAAATGTGACCCCCGGGTCACATTTGGTTTGAATGGCTGCGCGGAGGCCAAGTTGAGAAGATGACCAAATAGGGGGCTGGGAAGGTGGCTCAGTGGTAGAGTGCTTGCCTTGCATGCCTGAGGCCCTGGGTTCGATTCCTCAGCACCACATAAGCAAAAAGAAAAAAGCCGGAAGTGGCGCTGTGGCTCAAGTGGTAGAGCGCTAGTCTTGAGCTAAAGAGCTGAGGGACAGCGCCCAGGCCCAGAGTTCAGGCCCCATGACCGGACCAAAAAAAAAAAAAAAGATGACCAAATAATTAATAATAATAATAATGAGGCCTTTCTAGTCAATTCTTCCAGCACCAAAAAAAGCAGCCAAAGTCCTATGAGGTGTGTGGGGTGGGGTGGGGGAAAGGGGGACAGAAAACCTCTCGAACTCGGGGCAAGAAGTCAGGTCGACTTCCCACTTGGCGATGAGCTGGGCAGCCCCACAGGCTCCCCAGGCTCTGCCGGCCCCTCCGTGCTCCGTGTGGGGCCACCCCAGCATGCCTTGGCCGGCCCTGCAGTTTGGAGAGGTCGGGAGGAGGACCAGGTGCCAACCCGGGCCGGGGATGGGGGGGACCCCGCAGCGCAGGCCGAACCCCCTCCCCCCCCTCCCGCCTCCCCATCTCGGCTTTGCTCTCAACCCGGTCACGTTTGGCTGTTCCCACACCTCACCCCACACGCCACGAGCCTCCCAAACTTTACCGCACCCCAGGGCCGCCCCCCCCCCATAACACACATACACAAGAGACGCCAAACGCTGCCTCGGAGGGGGCAGAGGACCCCCCCTCGCCGTGGGGCTCCCCCGAATCTGCACGAGCTCCCCTCCCCCGGGGCAGGGGGTGCCCAATGCAGGTGGCCCGCGGACCACACGGAGAAAACACTGGGACGGACACCCCGACTGCGGACCAGGACTCCCGGGGCTTGGAGTCCCTCCATCCTCCAGCCCTGCGTCCCACCCCGACCCCAGGGGTGGGGGAGTGGGGGGCCGGTCGGGGCGCGGGGCGGGGCCGCACTCACAGGGAGCTGATGGCGCCGGGCACGATCCGGGGCACCCAGGAGGACCCCACGCAGATGATGGACTCCTTGGTGCAGCTGCAAGTGGCGGGGCAGCGCGCCAGCCGCCTCACCTGCGCGCTCCGGGGCAGCAGGCACGCGGCGCCCAGCAGCAGCAGCAGCAGCCCCAGCGCCCCGCCGCCGCCGCCCGTCCGCAGCGCCATGCCGGGCGCCCCGCTCCCCGCCGGGGCCCGACCCCCGCCGCGCCCGCCCGGGGCCGCTGCAGCCGCGCCGCTCGCCGCCGCCGCCGCCGCTGCGCTCGGCCGCCGCCGCTGGCTCGGACGCGGGGCGCCGCGGGTGTGGGAGGCCGAGCCGCAGCCGAGCGCATGCTGGCCGCCACCCCCACGCGGCGCCCCCCCACCCGCGCCCGGGCTGCTGGGCCGCTGCGCCCGCCGCGCCCGCGCCGGCCTGACATCAGCACTCGGGGCCCCGCAGCCGGCTCTGGCCAATGGGGGAGGCGTGCGGGGAGTCCGCCCCGCCCGCGGTGGGGGGGGAGGCGGAGAGGGAAAAGTTGGGTGACCTTGGGGGAGGGGCCTGCGGGGAAGAGAGCGGGGAGGGGGGGATCCCCCACCCTGGGAGCCCGGGGGTCCCGGGGAGGGGGGCCGGCACGGGGGGAGGGTTGGCGTTTGTACACCACACCCGGGGACTCCGTGCCTGGGGGCCCAAACCTGACTCCCTCCCTCTCCCCCCATAAAAACAAAGTAGGAGCCGGGGAGAAGTCGCCTCATCCCCGGAGGAGACTCCACCGACCGCATCTGCTTGTTTATATTGTGAGCAGCCTCGATTGATTCCAAAAGGATGCGGCCCCAGGCCCCCAGGGACTTCATGGGGTGGTATTTGGGGTCCGGCTGGGGCACCCCAGGCTGCCCACCTCCACCCCCTACCACCCCCTCAGGGAAACAGGAAAGCCAGCGAGCCACCAGCCGGGCGCTCACGGCTGCCACTGCTGACGGAAAGTTTTCCCACACTCCCCCACCCACCCTCCCACCCCACGGAGCCACGGGGGATACAGCCTGCAAGTACACACACGGGGTGGGAGCTGCTAGACGCAGAGCCGGCCTGCTTCCCGTCAAGGCTGCTGCGGAGGCCGCGTCTATGAAGGCCTGCAATTTACTGATGAAGACACAGAGGCCCTGCCTTGGGGTTCAGAGGCATCAATGGTCTGGCAGGGAAGGGCTGCAACCTGGAGTTGGGGATTCCTAGTCCTTTTCTGCTCCCTAAGTTTGTGCCACACTTGACCCAACGAGTTCGCATAAGTAGCACCAAGCAAGGGGCAGATAGCCCCATCAGAGAAAACCCCATTTTGATGATGGTGCTGGTTGATGGTGGCGGTGGTGCTGGAGATTCATTCTGCTCGGGGCCCTTGCTTGATGGATGAGCCACGGAGCTCTATCCCAAAAGCCACACCTGCAGTCCTTTTGTTTTCATTTATTTGGTTTTTATTGGTGTGTGGGTACTGGGGCTTGAGCTCAGGGCTTTGTGCTCTCACTTGACTTTCTCTCCCTCCCTCTCTCTCTCTCTCTCTCTCTCTCTCTCTCTCTCTCTCTCTCTCTCTCTCTCTCTCTCTCCCCTCAAGGTTGGTGCTCTGCCCCTTGAGCCATACCTCCACTTCTGGCTTTTTGGTGGTTCATTGGAGATAAGGATCTCACAGACTTTTGTGCCTGGGCTGGCTTTGAACTGTGATCCTCAAATCTCAGCTTCCTGAGTAGGTAAGGTTACAGGCTTGAGTCACTGGTGTCCAGCTTCCTCAGTTTAACCAAGACTGGGGGTACAGGTTCTCCATTTAGGGGCAATGCAAACGAAACTTGGCTATAATGATGATATTTGTGGTTGTCACGATGAGGTTAGAACTCCTGGCATCTCATGGTAGAGGTAGGAATGCTGCTTTATTCCAAAGTGCACCACAAAGAGCGACACCACCCCAAATGTCACTAGCCCCTGGGGCCTGGTATCCTGGAGAGGTCCCTGGAATAAGACTCCCAGAGGGGCAGGTGCAGACCTACCTCCACTTGTTACCTGTGCACCTTCACAATCATTCTCTCCCTCCCTATAAAGGCATGCTCATGTTCTTATGTCTCTTGGTTAGGACCACCTGAGCTGGTCCTGGAGCAAGTGAGGGGCGGGGGGGAGGCTGGAGTAGCAGAACTGGCAAGGTTGGTATTTGTTTCGCCTCTGTTAGTGACACTAAGTAAGTGAGTGCTTGTAAATTATAAGGCGTAGTTTATAAATTAAGATATAAAAATGGAAATGCAGATTGGTTTGGTTCCAAGATCTTCAGCAGCTTAAAAAGAAAAAGGGAAAAAAAAAACCTTAATAGACCATCAGAGACACAGTCTGTTTCCAGGAAATTGGAGGGGTTTTTGAAAATAAACAGGTCTTTATTCAGATGCTCCAGCTAAGCCTGGGGATTGAATGCCCAGTCCTGCTGAGGGTGTCTCTCTCTGAGGTCTCGCTCCTGCTCTATCTGCTACTACAACACGTGCTTCCAGTTCAGAATACTGAGCAGACAGCTCATGGGTCAAGTACTGACTGGAACACTATTGGGTGAGAGGCACCCATAAAGCAATGACAAAGATAGACATGGTCCCCACATTCATGGGAGACAGACATTCAATAGAAAGGATGCCCAATCAGAAATGATAACAGAGGCCATGAGAAGAAGGGAAGACCTAGTTCAGTGAGGGACAGCCTGAGAACTTCACGGAGAGCTCTGGGACGAGAAGGAGCCAGCCAATCAACAGAAGGCTAAACAAGTAGGCAGAGGCTAAGGTAGGAGTAGGGTAGGCAAAAAAGCACAGCACATTGCAAAGGGCCAGGGCTGAGAAATAGCTGACTTCTCAGGAGAACTTGCCATCATGGTCAGAGACCAGGAAATGAGAGAGAGAGGGAGAGGGAGGAGAGTGGAGAAAAGAGGGAGAGGGGGATGGTGAGAGAGGAGAGAAAAATGAGAAAAGATCTAGACTCATGCAGAATTTGACAAGCCAAGGCAAGGAGTCTGCCCAACATGTACAAAATGCTGTAGGGAGCCACAGAAGGATGTGAGTCAGAGAACTGGCCTGTTTAATCACTTGTTTCTGATTACCAAACTGAGCATGAGTTGAACCAGTCCCGGACAGAGATGCTGGACACCAGCCAGACCCAACTGCTAGTATAATGGTGAGGTTTCAAGATTCATCCTAAAGAAGAGTCAATGGGACACCTTGGATTGAATTTAGGAGGGGAGTTGAATGAAGTCTCTAGAATGCCTCCCAGGGTTTGGTTAGAGTCAGCAGATGGATGATGGCACCATTTCTTAAGATGAGAAAGTCTAGAAGAGGATGTGGCTGAAGAGCGCCACCAACAGTTGGGCTGGAGATGTTGCATTTTAAATGACCCAGAGATGTTGGGCCAGCTACTGGTGGGGTTGGGAAATCTTCCCAGCCTGAGTGATGCCTTGAATCTTTCTTCATAAGTTCTCAATGTAATGATGGTTGACTGAGTGAATGACGGACATTTTAGGAATCTTAACATTAGAGAGAAAATAGCTGTCAGGTGCAAAGAACAATGCAAATCTTACCAGACTGTGAATCTCAGAATACTGTGGTTTGAGGACCTATTTTTAGACCACAGGTAATCTTGGCATCTTAAGCTGAACTCTAAATCTTGTGAGAATCTCAGAGGCATCTTTGTTTTATTCCTTTTCCTCTCCCAACTTTTCACTAAATGCTCACGCCAGCCCTGCCTGTTCTTCTGGCCAGAGTCACACGCTTTGAAGCCTTTCTCACATCTCATACTTCTGGTGCTGCGGCTTCACTGTAACCACTGAAGGAAAGTTATTCATCCAAACCTCAAAGGCACTTGGTTTGAATGACTACAAATTGGATTCCCTAGGGGTTGGCCTTTACTTCCCTTCCCAGAGCTTTTGCCAATCTCTCTTTGACCACATCACCTCGATCTATCAGCTACTGGCTTCCGGTCACTGATTCCTTCAGAAACTCAGTGGGTGCCACAGGCTGGCACTCATTCTGCAGCTGCCTCTGATTCACCTCTCAAATTCAATCGAGTTCCTGCAGGGCTGTCTGTGAATGTCTTACTCACAGTCCTAAGTCAGACCAAAGACCCTCAGGACCCTGGTGACCTTTGCTGCCGCATCCCCACCCCCAGGGTTATGGAACCCTGGGGGAATTTTTTCTTACTCTATATCATGTTGACAGGACATGGCTCAGTTCATGTGGCTCAGTAGGTGACCACCTTCATCTTCTATTGCATGTTATTGAGACTAGAGCTTTCCAGAATATTCCATTCTCCCAGCCATAGATTCGTCCACTCAACTGGAGACATGCAATTCTAGCAAAATGTCTTGACAGAGCTTTACCTTGGGATAGTGAAAGGCAATCTCTTCTTTTTTCTATTGGCCTGGAGTTGTGTTGCGGTGAGCTTGAGAGGCAGTGGGTACAGAGACAGGCCCACACCCAAGAGAGGGTGCTGATGGGATTGTTTGGGTCCCAAATCAAGCCATCAATTCTAGTCTTCAGTCATGTGACATAATGCATGCCCTTGGTTTTGTTTTGTTTTGCTTTGCTTAACTAGTCTGAATCTGGGTTTTAGTCAATTGCAACTAAAGGAATCCTAACTAGTCTACTCAGCCATCGCCACAGGCAGAGATTGTACATAACAATGAAGAGAGAACACCAGAAATGGTCACAGCTGGACCTCAGGGTCTCCAGATTTACTTCTCCATCCTTTTCCCTCTCTCTCGTTTTGTGATATTCTTTCCATTCCTTTTGTTAAAGAAATTGTGAAGCCCTGCTCCTCCATTCTCTGTATGGCCCTTCTATTTCTGTGTGGGACAACTCTACGCGAGTTTTGTCTATTCCATTTGTTTTTGCAACAATCCAAGATACCTCTTTGTTGGTTTTCTCTACCATGATGTTCCATGTTGTGTTTGTCTAGGCTCGTTTTCACTGTTCAATCTGGGCTTGCTATAGATTGTTATCATTTTCATCTATTTTCATGTACTTATGAAATTCTGTACTTTATTAATTAATCAATTATTAATTAATTAATCAGCATCACTTTAGTATACAAATCATTTTATTTTATGAGTCACTTTTTTTTTTTTTTTTTTGGTTGTGGACCCTGAACTCTGGGCCTGGATGCTGTCCCTCAGCTCTTCAGCCCAAGG